AAGTTATTTTACGTTATCGATATATCAACTCTTGGCAACACTATTTTGTTTTGATGCTTTGGCGTACAGGACACGGTAATGCGTTTTTGGCGTGGCGCTCAAAAGGTTAAAGCTTAACAAAACGCTACTGCACAAATTAACTGTTTTTAAAAATACATTTCAAATAGCATTTAAATAAATAAAGGAAAATATATTTTAAAAAGTGTGCAGAACTTAAAGCACCTCAAAGATTGTTTTTTAACGATATTATTAATCGAATAAAAATCGATATCTTTCCATCGATTTTATGTCAGTTAAGTGGCAACATCGAGTCTGACAGCTAGGCCCTGTCATGGAATGAAATCACAATTTAGTTCACATTTCACAACTATATCTATACCTATATAAATAGTCACATGTAGAATTTATTTGCGTGTTACTTTGTTTGTTTTTATTTTTGTGAATTTGTTATCGAAGTAACGAACTACCCTTATAAATGGACTCTGACATTTTTTCCCATCATATAGCGAAAACACGAAGGCATTTGTTGGAAATTCCAGAACTGCGAAATCTTATACAAGAATAGGTTCGACCACAGCAGGTAAATAGTTACAATCATGTGTCATCTCTTCCTTTTCGTCATTCTACAATTGCAGCAATGCTTATTAACTGATTTGTCTTATAATTATATCAATTGATATAATAATTATGGCTTCTTTATTAGGTACAAGTTTCGAGTGATAGTGTAGTATGCCACTGCAGCCTGGAATCAAATATGACATCCAACTAGCGAACAGGAAAATTCACCAATTAATAGTCATGGACATGTATGTATCAGCTGTGGCAAGTCACTTTTGAGAATAAGATCACACACATTGTTTGGGTCTGATTCTCCACGTGAGGAACTCATAAGGAATGAAATTGCCCATCAAATTGCACTACGTGAAGTATGTGTTTTTTAATTTATTAAGTGTGTGTGCTCATATCTGATAGTGATACATGTTTTTTACTCTGATTACATCCACACAAACTATATCTGACAAACATACAAGCTTATTTATAACATGGCAATAAGATTAGCTTGTCACCACCAGATAGACTGCTACCGTTTTTACCAACTACCAAGTAATGAGACAATTGATTTTTCATTGTTTTTGGACTACTGGTAGTTTTTAAGTGCTTAATTATTAAACAATATAGGCCATTAAGTCTGCTTTTGTGCAGTAACAATTAACTTGATAAATATTTTATATATATTTGAGTTTAAAGGAAACAAATCTATTTTATTTTTATTTAGTTCACTTTTTCACCTTTTTATTTAATATTATTTCAGTTGCCAAAGTTATCTCGTGTGTTTCATAATTCTTGGCGAAGGTTTGATAGAGCAGCATCACATTCAACTGCAGAACGGGAACCATCTGAATCATCTAGTTCATCCTCGTTGCAATCTGAAGTCGGTAATGTATTGCACCCAGATTCAAACATTCTAATTTTAATAGAGAATGAAGCTGGGTATTCCCACCTGCTTGGGACACTGTAATTAATAAAATTAAAACTAAACCCAAGCATACCACGCAAGACTTCAAGACAGTAAGTTCATTCTGCGTAGATCGGACCATAAATAGTTATTAAAAAGCTGAAGTTACTCCAAGTTAACACTGATTTCGGTACACCAGTCACCTCAATCCCCCATGACCATGTGTGCTGGAAAGCACCCGAAAGTCGGGAATTAAAAATCAAAGAAATTAAATGCGATAACATTTGTAAAATTAGTTGTTAAAAAACTGTATTTGTGAAAATAAAAACTTTTATATCTTAAAATTCCCGACTTTTTTTAAACCAATTTCTTAACCATTTCATTCCTTTAATTGTATATTATCATATCTATATGCTTTTATATGTGGGCACCCATGGCCGAAATGTCTATGAAGAGTGGGCATTCCTCTTTGCCACGAACTTTTTTTGCAAACGTTCCAATCGTAAGGAGTGTGTCGCATAATGTGGCCGCCATACTACCCTGCAATACTCAAGTATGCTTCGTACGAGGCTGTTGTACAGTAGGATCTTAATGTTATTATTTTTAAACACTTTAGCGTTACGCAAAACAAAGCCTAGCATTCTATACGCCCTTTTTGTAATATTCTCGATGTGGGGAATGAAGGTTAATTTTTTATCGAACACTATTCCCAGGTCTTTGACTTCCTCTGTTTTCTTAATGATGTCGCCGTTAATTTTGTATGATGAGTTCACTGACTTGATCTTTCTACTGAATTTAGTATGGTAACACTTGTTTATGTTCAGGTACATACCATTGTCTCGACACCAATTTACCATACGGTCAACATCAATTTGAAACTATTCGATGTCCTATAGAGTTTCGCAGATGCCAACCAATTTCAAATCATCGGCATACATAAATGATATGGTGACTGAAAGCAACTAGGGATGTCATTGATGAAGGTGTTGAAAAGCAGAGGACCCAAATGTGATCCCTGAGGAACCCCCGACGTAATTTTGTATGGTGCAGACTGAAAACCATTAACGACCACACTAAAACTACGATTATCCAGGTACGACTGCAGCCATCCCAATAATGAGCCAGTAATACCATATGCACGCAATTTAGATATAAGAATATTATGAGGTACTTTGTCGAATGCCTTACTAAGGTCTGTATATATTACATCAACATCCCTACCGTCATCTACCGCTTCTACCAAAGTTTCAGTAAACAAGGTCAGATTGGTACAGGTTGACCTAAATCTAACAAAACCGTGCTGTCACTCAGTAAGATAATGATTCAAGGTTTGAGACAGGATAGACAAGAGATTCAAATATTTTACTTAAAGTTGACAGTATTGAAATAGGGCTATAATTACGTACCATCTAAACGTTATCGGCCTTGTGAATGAGAACAACTTTCGCGGACTTGCAAACATCAGGAAATAGGCCGGATTGAAGATACTTCTTAAAAATTAGATATATAGGCGTCACTAGCTCATCCGCAGATGCCTTAATGAATATAGGAGGGACACAATCTGGTCCTGGGCCCTTATTGCCAATCTAGGGACTTCATATTCTTCAGTATCCGATCCTTGTTAAGGTAGGGAGCAGTTAATTCAAGGCTGTAATTGCAAATCAAATTCCATTGACTGACATTCAACTCTGAGTTTATGTTATCTTGAGAATTATACACAGCTCCAAAATAGGACGCAAATAATTCGCAGATTTCCCTAGAACTAGATGACTTCTTATTACCATCAGTCATTGTATAAGGATAATTACTTTTTCCGTACTTCTTTGCCTTAATAAATGACCAAAAAAGTTTAGGATTCGACTTTAATACTATATTCTGTCTTCTTTATATAATTTTTATAAGATTGTTTTGCTAGCGTGCAGCAACGCTTATTAAGTAGCCGCAGCTCAACCTCGTCCATGGGATTCCTATATTTTTTATACCGCTTTCTTACGTTCTCCTTTTCACTCTTTAATGAAACACTAAACCAAGGAGGAGAAGAATTATTTCCTATTTTTGTAGGGCACATATTTATTTATTAGATTATTAATTATATCATAAAATAAGTTTGTCATTTCATTAACATTCAGGTTATGAAACATTTCATTCCAATCATATTCGGCTAAACAAAGGCGGACCTGAGTATAATCGGCTTTCTTAAAATTGTGTATTTTAGTTTCGATGTTATACGGCTGTGTAATATCAGTATTTCTTTTCATTAATATTTTGAGAGGGGGATGTAGAGGATCTACGACATTAAGAATATTAACTGATCCTGCCATTGTACACGTGGACGATGATAGGTTGGTCAGTACAAGGTCTAACAAGCGGTCCGATTTGTTAAGAATATTATTCATTTGATTAAGCTTGTTAAGATGAACTAAATCTATCAATTCTTGGCTAGGACTAGGTGCAACATAGTTATTCAACAAATCGTGTACCAAACTCCAATTTATATTACCTAAGTTAAAATCACCAATAAAGCACAGGTTTGAATCAAATTTACTTGTTATGACTGAGGTACAATTATCTACAAAATACTCCAACATTAGCCTGTTCACCGGAGGTGGTAAGTAAACACAGAAAATAGCTATTTGATGGACAGAGTTTTCAATTTTCAAATCCAAAACCACCCAAATGTCGTCACATTTACTTTCCCATTCAAACTTCCGAACAGATTTTTTAGTTTTTAGTACCGCAACTAAGACTCCTCCCCCATCCTTATTCTCATGAAACTCTGTACTTTCCCGGTCTCTTCTGTATATCTCGTATCTGTCATCAAATAATTCATTGCTCATTACGCTACTATTAAGCCAGGTTTCAGTTAAAACTATTACATCATAATTATTATAATTGACTTCCCTTAAAAAGTTGTGAGTTTTCGTACGCAACCCACGAACGTTTTGGTAATATATTCTAATCTCTTTTAAAATGGGTAAAAATGTACCCTACATTCAAAATTTTGTAAAAAAATATTAACTAAGATTTGGAACTAAGGAAATTTGTCAAGTGTCTCTATGTTTCTGATATATATGATTTTAAATTCAGAGTCTTCAGTCTTCCTCATGAAAATGCGACCGCCTCTCACCCAGACATATTTATAACCTTTGTCCTTTGCCGCCTGTCTTGCTGCTGCATGGAGGGCCTTGTTGTGGGTGGAGAGATGTTCACATATAAAAATTGGAGTTTTAGCACCGGAAACATCAGCGTGAGAACTGTTTAACCTTTCTTGAGGCTTCAGTTTATTATGTTTGATCGCTGCTGCCAAGAATTTGTCCCTCATACTCGGTGAGTTAAATTGCACTACAATAGACCTAGGGCGGCTGGAGTCTTTATTTAGTTTAGCAATACGGGTGTAGTGGGCTAAGTGTTCCGTGGATACTTGACAATTTATTGTTTTGCCTATTTCTGTTACGATGTGCACAGGTTCTCATCTTTCCTCTCGGGGAGACATTGGATCTCAATGTTATTCATTCTAGCATTTTGTTCCATTTGATTAAATCGATTAGACAAGTCCTCTGACTGCAGTCCCTGACTGCAGTGCACCGTTTTCTGTCTCTAGCCGTTTTATTTTTTCATTGGCCTCTGCATGCTCCTTTGTAATAGATTCATATTTTGTATTCATGAAATTCATAGACTCCTTCATATCCACTATTTCCTCCTTCATAGATTTTAGTTCAGTACCTAGAATGTCCGATATGGTGATGTGCATTGTCTTTTGGAATTGAGTCACTACGTCCTTGATAATTTATTGCATCTCGTCCCTTGTTATTGGCCTTTCATCTGAATCCTTTGGTGGGGAGTTCAAAGCTTGCCTCTTTCCCGGCCTCAGAGTTATATTTGGGTTGTAGCGAACCGGGGTGTTATCATTATTACCCATTTTTTGCGTTCCATGACATTGAGGGCACAGCCATGTAGACGTGGTAGTATCGTCTTCATTGCTTGATATTGACAAACATTCAAGATGATAAAGTTTGGTGCATTCTGTATACATTGCATATAGTTCTGGTCCCGCAGATCAATCGAGCAACACCCCCAGATAAGGTTTTTGTGTCCTTTTGCTGCCATGTTTACTTTCAATTTAAAATATTTCCAATAAAAAAAGATAATAGAAAAGAAAAAAAATGAAAAAAAGAGAAAAAAAATCTTCCTTGTGATTTCGATCTTGAGTCTTTCCAAATAGTAGCGTAACGAGCCCTATCCACTACGCCGACAGTACATTAGTCGTAACGGGTGAAAATAGCATATAGTTTGGTACACACTCGGAACACGCGATCACACTATGGGTTCAAAGTCCAGTCTTATGTGTTCCGCTATTAAAGTTATAACTTAAATGTCACAGTACCCTACACAAGATTCACTGAATCAATGTTTTCACCCCTTTTCATTTCAAATTTTATTGTTTAAATTACACTACACAAAATCACTCAGTCTGCTGAACGTTTAAGTATATATTTCTATTAAAAAAGGTAACTTTTTTCACCACTTTGGAATAAAAAAACTAAGAGCGCCAAGTAACACTTACGTCCTTTGTACGGTGTACTCGATATCTTGGTTAACTGTGAACCGATTTTCATGTTTTTTTTTTCATTAAATTTGTTAATTTAATACTCGTTCCATATTCATTTTAAAGAAAAAAATGGGCTAGTTTCACTGTAACTATTTAGACTTCTTAATCCACTCAAAATGGCAAAAATTACCTTTCTTACAGACAAATTTAAAAACCTAAAAATAATAAAAAACAATTTTTTTGCAGGTTTTCTATTACTCTATAAAATAAAGCTTAACACTAGCTTTTAAATGTAAAACTATTCAAAATTTTCTAATTTATATTAAATATAATATATTTTCTTTGAAGCATTTACTTTTACTTTCATACCAAAAGTTAATTTTTCTTAATTTGAGATAAAACATCACTTAAATAACTTATGATAGTCGGATAATTAATAGAACCAGGCGTAACATTAGGCAAATCCATTGTATGAGAGATATTTAAAATCAAACCGGGTAAGACACATCATTCTATTTAATTACGCGGATTTAAATTAATTGTTTTTTAACCTATTTTTTAAGAAACTACTACTAGTTGGCAAAATTAATAGAGTAATTTTATACATTGGCATATTATGTACGTTATAGAGCAAAGTGAGGGTGAGCGTCAAACCACCGCAACCTAAAAAAAAGTGTCCCGATTCAGGGTATTTTCCTATTTTAAAGACAACATTACTAGACGTAGACATACAAAAACTGCTGCCACAAAATAAATAATTGTGGAAATAAAGTTTTAATTTTTAATATTATGTTATGTATGTATGGTTTACGCTAGTAGTCGAACGGTGGATTCGAACCCATGACCTTTTTGAGTTCGCGGTCCACGCCCTTCCTTTAGGCTATTGTCGCTTAAATGAGATGTATTTCCCTACAGCCCGCAAATAAAAAAATCGCAATCCACTTAAATCACTTCCGTTCCGAGTTAAATTGTTTGATTAGTTATATTGTACTACGAGTAATATAATCATTGAAATTGAATGATAAATTATAGCATTCAAACATATTTTTGCGGTACGAACGCAACCTACTGCAAGGTTATTGTATTTTTCCCATAACTTTCACGCCGGTTCAAGCAATAAAATACGAAAAAACAAAAACTAATTTTATCTAAAACACACACATATTGAGAGTCACTAGTAGATAATTGAACACTCATTTTCGTCCCGAGGGTGTCTCAATAGATTGTGATAACCATCTAGGTCGCCTTTTACGACATCTACGAGATGATATAAGGTAGTGTATATTCTTACACCGCCACTACATGGTAAGGCCCTAGTTCGGCAGTAGACTTTTACGGGCTGGTGATACAGAAGAAGATAGTCAGTTATCGATAATCTTTGATATGCATTAGGTACTGACTGATACAAAAATATAAATAGATAGACCCGCCCATACTTTGCTTTAATAGGATCTGTTAATGTGGCGTTTAATATAATCAAAGACCATTTAATTTATGTCTTTTTTCAATAGTCATTAAGTCTTTTTGAATAAGATCCCGCTTGGTATTGCTCTCTATATGTTAGTAAAGTATTATTTACACATGGTAGAGCCATGCTGCGGTTATATTAGTAGAATAGTTGTAGCACGAATGGGTCGGCTCGACCGGGGAAGGACCACGCGCTCACAGAATACCAGCGTGAAATTGTAGCTTAATGCTGCTGTGTTTCGTATGGTGAGTGTAGAGAACCAGAGACCCTTTTTACTGGAAACGAGGCATTCCATCTTAGTCCTCACGGGTGACAACGCATCTGCATTTTGATTTGTAATGGAGGATAGATGTAGATGTCCATGGGCCGCTGCAACCACTTACCATCAGATGGACTGTGTGCTCGTTTATCACCCTATCCTATAATAAAATTAGTTTACCAAGTGCGAAGATTATCCTGGACAAACAAAATTTATAAAAAATTTTATTTATGCATTAATAGCATGCAGAACATACCCTGGGCTTAAAAGATGTCAGTTATTTTAATATAACGGACATAAACTTCAATTTTTTATACGTGGTAGACACGCTGCAGCTATGTTATGGTTATAGCTCGAATGGGTCGGTTCAACGGGGAAAGCACACCATCTCACAGAATACCAGCGTAAAATAGCAGCTTAACGCTGCTGTTTTCGTATGATGAGTGTAGAGATCCAGAAAACCATTTTAATGGAATCGAGCCATTCCGTCTTAGTCCTCAGGGGTGACAACGCATCTGCTTTTTGATTCTTAATCAAGGTTAAATGTCTATGAGCCACAGCATACACTTACCGTCAGGTGGCTATGTGCTCGGTTGTCATCATTATTCTTTAAAAAAATATTTATATGTATAGATTATAACTAGACGTGTATTGGAAGCGTAAGTAAATTCACATTATTTTATGCACATTTCTTATTTCCATAGTGATTGCCATACATACATTTTTTATTTGGCAACAAACAGTTATATTACAGATATGACATGACTTACATTTGCTTTAAGACAAAACAACCAAATAGTGCCAGTGAATTTAACCAAATTTGCAATGAGGAACTACTATAATTAAATACTTAATTTATTTAGTCTACTCTTTGCTCTATTTAAGGTAAGTCCAATATTTTTAATAAATAAATATTACACTCTCATAATCTATAGTGTAGAAAAACATAAAGGCACATCTTATTACGATGCTAAATTATAATTTTAGAAACAAAAATATTGAAAAATCTCAGACGGTATTAATTGACTCAATTAATCAAGCAAAAGCGCCTTGGTGTAAAGTCCTTGAATACTATACCTATATATCTACTTTCACAGCGCTTTGCTACGTGAGTGTCTTTGCTAAATTATTCCTAATAAAGCAAGATGGCTATGGTTTTCAAGTAAATAGTCTAAGTATCAAATAGCACGATTCCTGAATTCAAGCAATTGATTGTGGCTCAGAACTGTGCTTTGTATCATTCCTTTGGTGGGTGACGGTGGGGTATCGGGATCTATGACAGAAAACATCTGGCCGCCTAGCTTCAGCTTCTTCTTGAAGCGAGCTTCCATCAAATTATACTACAAGTCACCGAAGAAGATTAGTCATTTTTCACCATCCATCAAGTGGATTGGATGGAGCTAGATTGTGAATGTGGTCTCTCTTACATAGTTCAAACAAAAAAAGTATAAAAACCAGCGCAAAAGAACATATAACTGTCGTGAAGCACCGACTATGCGGGAAGTCTGCAGTCTGTAAAGACTGTTCAAGATCGTCCCCACTATTACATCAGATTTGATAAACCACAAATTCTCGCAAAAGGACACCGATTCCTGACAAGGATGATACGCGAGGCTATTGAAATTAAAAAATATCTTAATTTCAATAGAGAAGATGGATGATTGCAGCCATCTGCTTGGGATCATAACAAAAATAAACCCAAACCCAAGCAAACCACTGCAAGACTTCAAGATACTGTAAGCTCGTTGTGCGTAGATCGGACCAAAAATTAATATTCAAAAACTGAAGCCCGGCTAACTATGAAATTGGAACTTCAAGCATCTCCGTCCCCCCCCCTGTGGTTAAATATAAGTTAAAATAGTTTTACGTGATAAAATATGTGAATATAGTTTTATTCAATATATTGCATTTGCGAAGTTTAAGAATTCATTATGGTATCCTGTTTTACTCACTCACTATTCGATACATAGAAGTAATAAACTGCTATTTGACGCCAATATTCTGTGAAATCTTAGTCAAACCCATTCGTGCTACACTCATAAAATAACACGTTAAACAATAAACCATTAAATTTATCTGGCATTTTTACATTTCTTTTTATAAAATCTACAGAAAGAAATTGTGTGATGTGATTGATATTTATTATAAGTTTATAAAACTGTAGGGACAAGTAAATCTATGGTCTACCCGATGGTAAGAGCCTCTGCAGTCCATGTTCATCCGCAGATATAATCGAATAAAAAAAGGTTGCAGATTTGTTGCTAAATCTGAGCACTAAGGTGGAATGTGTAACAACCTGTTAATATATTGGCTTGCAATACCCTTCAGACCGAAACACAACAATTCAGACGTTGATATTTTCATACGCAAACGTAGACTCCTATGCATAAAAGAAGTGCTACCGTCTAAGTATTGTGATATTAACGACTTTTGTATCCCTTTTATATTTTGGAATAGAAACAAATATAAAAGTGT